AAACTGCTGCAAATAATAACTTTCTCCATAAGTTCTACTGCCTTGAAGCATTGATCTCCTCAGCAAAAAAACAACAAACAAACAAACAAAAAAACAGAAAAGTAAAAAAAAAGGAGAAACAAACAAAAAAACAGAAAAGTAAAAAAAAAGGAGAAAGAAAAAAAAAGAAAAAAAAATCAGTAAAAAAATGTCTTTTATGAGTTCTGACAGAGGAAACAACACGGATGCTCAAGACGAAATCGTCCTCAATGTGATTTTTATCATAAAACTGGTCATACTAAAGACAGGTGTTGGCAATTACAAATACCACCATCTCCCATTGTTCTATCACCGGAAGAATATGCAGCATTTCAGCAATTTAAGTTGGCTAATATGCATTTATCCACATACGGGATGTCTACTGCTTGTGTTTCAAACACAACAGGCTCATGGATCATTGACTCAGGTGCATCAGACCATATTTCTGGTAATCCCCATCTTTTATCCCATATTACCAAGCACCGATATCTTCCTTTGATTACTCTTGCTAATGGCCTTCAAACTTCGGCTTCGGGTATTGGGCAAGCACTTCCACTTTCATCCTTACCCTTAGACTCAATCTTATATGTCCGAAACACCCCCTTTAACCTTGTCTCTGTCAGTAAAATTACACGTGCTCTTAATTGTTCCGTAACATTTTCTGCTGATTCTGTGATTGTGCAGGACCGTTGTACGGGGAAAACGATTGGCGTCGGCCATGAATCTCAAGGTCTGTATCATCTCCATCCTTTTGATCCAATCGTTTGTGTTTCAGTTGAACCTGCTATTACCTTACATAACCGTCTGGGTCATCCTAGTCTCTCAAAGTTTCAACGTATGGTTCCAGGTTTCTCAAATCTTTCATCTTTAGATTGTGAGTCATGTCACCTTGGAAAACAACCTCGTAAATCCTTTCCAAGGCGAGTCAATAAACGGGCTACATCACCGTTTGATTTAGTTCATACAGATGTATGGGGTCCGTATCGAGTCACTTCTACTTTAGGTTTCCGTTATTTTGTTATTTTTGTGGATGATTTTTCTCGTTACACATGGTTGTTTTTAATGAAAGAGCGTTTTGAATTGTTTCATATTTTTCAAACCTTTTGTGCTGAAGTTCAAACTTAGTTTGGTCATTCTATCAAAATTTTACGTAGTGACAATGCTAAAGAATTTTTTGGTGCATCCTTTAATCAATTCATGGCATCACGGGGTATGCTTCACCAATCCTCTTGTATTCACACGCCTCAACAAAATGGGGTTGCTGAACGCAAGAACGGACACTTGGTTGATATTGCTCGTACCCTATTATTACATTCCCATACACCACCTCATTGCGTGTCATTTAATCAATAAAATGCCTTCCTCAGTTCTTAACAATGAAATTCCCTATTCTATTTTGTTTCCAGCTCATGATTTATTTCCATTACCACCTCATGTGTTTGGGTGTGTGTGTTTTGTCCATGATACGACACCTAGATTAGCTAAAATGTCGGCTAGATCAATAAAATGTATCTTTCTTGGATATTCGCGACTCCAAAAGGGATATCGTTGTTATTCTCCATTACTTAAGAAACATTTTATTTCAGCCGATGTCACTTTCATTGAGTCGTCCTTTTATTATCCATTATCTTCAGTTGATACCCCATCATGTTTGGACTTCACCTCATATCTCCGACCCATCCATCTGGAGACTACCATTAACCCCCCATCTGATGAGCACCCAAATTGCTCTCCTATGGCAGACCGTCCATTACAAGTATACCATCGACGTCCTCGACCTCCTCCCATTATGCCCATTGTTTCCACGCCAGTTGAATCCCCTATGACGGATCCCGCACCATCACCATCAGATACCCCAGTACCCGAAATTACTCAGGATGATTTGCCCATTGCTCTTCGAAAAGGTACGCGTTCTACTTCGAATCAACATCCCATATATAACTTTTTGAGTTATCACCGCCTCTCTACCCCTTATTATGCTTTTATTTCCCACCTGTCTCATATATGCATTCCTAAAACCACACATGAGGCACTGGCACACTCGGAATGGCGTAAAGCCATGTTGGCTGAGATGGAGGCTCTTCATTCTAGTGGGACGTGGGACTTAGTCCCCCTTCCCACTTGCAAATCAGTGGTGGGATGTCGGTGGATTTACACAGTTAAAGTTGGGCCTGATGGGGAGATTGATCATTTTAAAGCACGCCTTGTGGCGAAAGGGTATACTCAGATATATGGTTTGGATTACACTGACACCTTTTCTCCTGTAGCGAAGATTGCATCAGTTCGTTTGGTTTTATCCATGGCAGCAATGAGCCACTGGCCATTGTTCCAATTGGATATTAAAAATGCATTCCTTCACGGAGATCTGCACGAGGAAGTTTATATGGAGCAACCACCTGGATTTGTTGCTCAGGGGGACTCTGGTATGGTGTGCAGATTACGTCATTCATTATATGGCTTGAAGCAATCTCCACGTGCATGGTTTGGGAGGTTTAGTGCCGTTGTCTGCAGCTTTGGCATGATTCGCAGTGATGTCGATCATTCTATATTCTATCGACATTCTGCTGGCAACAAATGTATTTATCTTGTTGTGTATGTTGATGACATTGTCATTACAGGTAATGATGATCAAGGAATTGCGCTCCTCAAGCAACATCTCTTTAACAAATTTCAAACAAAAGACTTGGGAAAATTGAGATACTTCCTTGGCATTGAGATCGCACTGTCTCAAAATGGAATTGCTCTCTCACAAAGAAAGTATGCCTTGGATATTCTTGAGGAAACAGGTTTGCTAGATTGCAGGCCAGTGGATACACCAATGGATCCGAACGTTAAACTCTTATCAGAACAGGGAGATCTTTTGCCCCACAAGGAAAAATATAGGAGAGTCATCGAAAAATTGAATTATCTTACCATCACGAGACCAGATATTTCATTTGCGTTAAGTGTTCTTAGTTAGTTTCTTGATAAGCCATGTACTGGACATTGGGATGCAGCTATCCGAGTTTTGAGATACATCAAGAAAAATCCGGGGCAAGGATTGTTGTTTGAAGATCGAGGCCACAATGATATTGTGGGATACTGTGATGCAGATTGGGCCGGATGTCCGATGGATAGACGTTCCACTTCGGGATATTGCATCTTGATTGGTGGAAATTAATTTCATGGAAAAGTAAGAAACATGATGTGGTTGCTAGATCTAGTGCTGAAGCAGAATATCGTGCAATGGCCCTTGCTACATCTGAAATCTTATGGTTGAAGCATCTCCTCCAAGAGTTAAAATATGGAAACACAAAACCGGTTCAACTCATGTGTGATAACCAATCTGCAATGCACATTGCATCAAATCCGGTATATCATGAGAGGACAAAACATATTGAAGTTGATTATCATTTTATCCGAGAGAGATCACGAGTGGACATATCATCACAAAATATGTCAACACAACTGAACAACTTGCGGATATTTTAACTAAGTCTCTTAGAAGTCCTAGAGTGGGATATATTTGTAACAAGCTTGGTACATATGATTTATATGCTCTAGCTTGAGGGGGAGTGTGGAAACCCTAGTAGTATTGGGCTTAGCCCATTTGTATATCTTGTATAGGAAACCCTAGTACTCTAAATATAGCTATAAATATAGCTTCTTGTATAGCATTTTAATATCAAGTATATGAAGTACAACAATACTTGTTCACATTTTCGAAGGATTTTATTTCTTGCTTTGTGGCGAATGTTATTCAGGCTTCTAAGGGGGTTTTGCCACTTCTGCTATATTGGCTGCAATTAATTAGGTCAGATGAATCCAACGTTTAAAATTGCGCAACGCATTTGGGCAATGAGGCACGCCTTGTAATTTTTAGACAATCTAGGATACAAGGCTGAAACGGAAATAGGCAATATAAAAGTTTGCGCCTTTTTAGAAAAGGCGTACGCTTATTGCGTTAGCCATATATCGGGCGTTGATGTGCGCCACAACTAATAAGACTGTCTGGTGCAGCCCAAACTAAATTAGTTTAAAAAAAGAATATATCGTTGAGGCATAGTATATAAATTTGCGCAGGAGTAGCGACTTCTGCAACCTTTGTACTTCCTACTTTGTAAACGACGGCTGTTTTCTTCTCTGCGCCAGAGAAGAAACCTTCTGCAACCTTCTCTCTGCTTTTATCCTTTTCTTCACGGTATGGGTTTAGTATTTTATTGATTTATTGATACATGTTTTGTGGGCAGGAAAAGGGTACTCCACTACTCCATAGTGGATAATTTAGTGCATGAGTATTATAATATTTTATTAGCTTCTTTGTAGTTAGTGTATCTGTGGATGAATATTATTGATTCTTTGTTATTTATACATACATAGTGGAGGGATATAATACATGGTGGATTTTTTTGACACCTTAATACGAAGTGGATGCAAAATATTATTAATATACTATTTTATTATATTATTTGTTAGTTATACACGCTGTTATTATCATGTTTGTTTGGACTCTTCGATCTAATAGGACTAGAACTTTAATAAATTAGAAATATTTATTTTGAATAATGTTCAAAATTCGAACATACTTTTTGTTTTAATACATTATTTGTACTTCTTTTATATAAATTTGTGTAAAACTCGAGTGTGGTGGAAGAAAGTATTTATTGACAATTTCGAACCTTGGATAAATATTTTCGCTATTCCATCCTTCACTCTTGTCACTTGTGGTGGAAGAAAGTATTTATCGACAATTTTCTTCTAGATTGTTTGTGTTGAGCTGTGTTATGGTGCTGACTGGCTTCATTCATTGGCTCTTTGATCTTCATTCCCAATGTGGTGCATTATGCTGTGTCTTTGCAGTTATTCACATCCAAGATTGTATAATTCTTGTTGTAAATGTTACAATGATTGGTCAATTCTAATTTGTAAATGGCAGGGACCTATGGGGTTAACCATTTTTTAACCACGGGGGTAGATTTGCTTACTTTTGCTCTTTATTGTAGGTAAAACGGAATATATCTATGTTCGTGTAGTGGAGCATGCTCGGCTTGCTCTAGAGGTTTGTGCGGAATCATTCTATCACCAGTTATATTTTTGGCCAATGTTTTTATAGAGAAGAGGGTCCCTTCTAACAGCTTACTCGAAGCCTGAGCATTAGGGCCTACTGCTGGGCATGGGACTAGATGCCAGTGTTTTTAACATGCTGTTCCAAATTATAGTTCTTGTTGATTGGTTATATATGAGGAGTCCGGCAAGTGGTTGATAGAGATCTAGATAGTACTAGTAATAAGAATAATATTGGTCTTTTAATATTGTAGAATAAAAGGGGTTTAAGCCCTGAATTAAATAGCACTGGGCTAGCCCAAATGGAAAAGAATAAATAGGACTTGGGGAGTAGAATAAAGGTAGGCGGAACTTGGAACTTGTACTGGGAATTGGTTGAGTGGTTCCTCTCTAAGAGTCTCGATCTGTATTTTCTTCTCTTTGTTTCTGTTTGCCGCTATTGTATGTTGTTTACTGTTTACTGTGAAGTTCGGTCTCTACATTGGTATCAGCGTATCAACGATCTGTGGAGGACTGTTACGCGTGTGCAGATGGAGAATAGCACAGGAAGTGTCAAACTCCATGTTACGAAGATGGAAACGATGCTGGACGAGATGATAAATCATCTGCGTAAACAGCGTCGCCGGAGACATAGAGACCGAGCAAGGAATCCTCCCAGACGTTGTCGGCCAACTGAAAGCCCGTGCTCGTCGTCGTTGCAAGCCAAGTCTCCCAGTGCACCGCGAAGTGCGCATATTTCGTCTCAATTGCTAAGTTCACTCACAGGTTCCGTTGCTAGCAACTTCTCACAGTTTGCAATCGTGATCTTCTCACAGTTCGCAGTCGCGAACTCCTTCTCACAGTTCGCAATCGTGACCCCACAGTTCGCAGTCGCGAACTTCTTCTCACAGTTCGCAATCGTGACCTTCTCACAGTTCGCAGTCACGAACTTCTTCTCACAGTTCGCAGTGGCGAACTTCGTCTCACAGTTCGCAGTCGCAGTCGCGAACAGTTTCTCTCCGCTCGCAAACTTCCTCATCGGCTTTCAATTCGCGTTGAAGTAAGATACGGCCTAGAGGAGAATCATTATCATCGCCAGCCGTTTCTTCCCGCTCGCAATCTCTATCTGAGTCTCCAGGTTCGCAGCGGGAGTCTGTTAACGTGCGGCAACCTTGCTCTGAAGACACATTCAGCGATGGTGACAATGGATGCGAGAAGCAATTTTCTGTGGTGACTCAAACCTCTACTGCCATGGAAAATGAATTGGCTGATGATAAAGTTGCTAGTTCAAATAATAATGAACTGGAACACAAAGTGGTTCCTGAAATATCTAAAGGCTTTGCTCAACAGGAAGTCATTAATGTCATGGGACAAGTAGATGAGTCTCAAGCTACCTCGTATACGGCTGCTATTAATGGAATTAATAGCAAAGTGACAGATACATCATTCATCACTGTCCTAAAAAAGGGGATACAATTAAATATTAAACATGAGGCTGCCATCAGGCATCGACGAGTAGATCATTTTGCACTATCTCATGAAGAGAAAGGAGTAGGAAGCATTGTGAGAACCAATTCTCTAGAGTTTGGTACCTGGACTGCACAAACGAAGGGAACAAATAAAGTAACAGAGGGGAACATTATGAATTCTATCCCAGAGGTTTGTTCTGTTGCTGCAAGAGCTATCAGTTTTTTTATAAGGGGAATGGGAGAAGAAAATTTCCCAGACTTGGTGCTTTGGCTGTTAGATACTCTGAAATCTGATGACAGCAAGGTGGGGCGTTCTGAAACTGCACAGGGCCTAAGCAAGGTATTGATGAAGGCTGTATCCAACAGAGTGACATGTGTATTTGTTGGTGGCAGTGTGTTAGCTGTTGATCTGCTAACTGCCGATCTTAAAACTTCAGATAGAACTGTATTATCAACTGATATTGATTCTGCCAGTATGATTCCAAGTCTATTACGCATGGATTGTGAGAGGGCAAGATTGTGTGGGGTAGCAAGGTAGCAAAAGCCATTGTACGTATTGGACAGGTTTCCTTCGAAGATGAATAGACTGCATCTATTAGGCTTGACATAATTTATAAACCGGCTATAACTTTCTGGAATACTACTTGAATTGGTGAAGGTTGTTTGGGAGGCAAATGGCAGGTTCATGCTGAAGCATTTCATGCAGCTGTTGCATCCTCTACAGCCTTATTTGGTTCTGCTGGTGATGCTCTAACCTGTAGGGATCTGGTTATTGGTCATGGTTCAGGATGAGCCTGCTAGGTCAGTTGGATGAGCCTGCAAAGCTTTCTATGTCGAGAAACGCTACATGGATTTTGTTAAATATCTGTCAAGGCCAGCCACCAATAGCAATTGACCTGGTCAAAGCAGCATTGCGAGTTCTTCCGCAACTAATGGTTGGGTTTCGAGCAGAAAAACACAGTGAAAAATGAAAAAGATCTCTGTCCAAAAGTAAGCAATCGAATATGAGGTTCTTACTATAAACGAAATTACAAGAAATAAGAGAGACTTACACAACAATATTAAACCAAGGATGTCATCCAGTCCAAGAAAACGATCCCGAGCTCTACCGGTATCCACACGCACGTGACTGGATGGCCTGCAGGGAACGTGCTAACGTTCTCTTCTTTCCCCCTCTCTCTCTAGGTTTATTAGATGTGAATTTTAACTCTTAAATTCGTGGCTCTCCTTAGCCCTATTATTGATAAGGGAGGAAAGGAATTTTATAACTAATAAAACTCTTCTGGAGACCCTAGCCCAATACCATTCGAAAACCTATTTCGAATTGGGCTAATCATACTATTTTAATGTTATTAACAAACACTAATGATCCATATCACTTAGGTGTGTGACCCTGTAGGTTTATATATCGTTGGCAGTGGGCTAGAAAATTAATTCGAGTCTCACAAATCATAAGCGGTCTCTAGCAAGACAATTATGACTATCCCAGATAGATAAATGTCAATTAAATCTGACATAACCTTTTAATGATTAATTTGTGCTAATAATTCTCTTTTGTCAAACGACATCTTAATTGAGACAAGGTTAGGTCGTGTCATCCTTGTTATTCTCTATTAATATTTCTTGATTACCGATTAAGATAATCCTGAACAAATGACACTTCATTTGAAATTCTGAACAAGGTTAACTGGGCCAGAAGTCCCAAACCCAGATAAAAAGAAAAATAGATTTATGCTTCAGATTTTTAATTAAAAGCTAAGCCCATGGTAATCTACCTTACGGACGCCTAATTGCCCAAAGTCGTAGCCAAGTCGCATCGCTGGAAGCAGATGAAGAAAACGAACCGCAGAGTGCAGGTGTCGCCCTCCCTCAGTGCTTTAACCCGTGATATAATTTTAAAATAACCTTCTATGAGTTCTATGACTTTTTATATTATTAAATGATATAATTTTTTAACCCGTGATACTTCTATTTTAAAAATAATGAAAATTTCACCTGTGATACTTCCATTTTAAAAATAATGAAAATTTCACCTGTGGTACTTCCATTTTAGCCTTGTTTAATTTGCATGTATTGTTATATACGTATTCTAAGTTATATACAATATACTATCCTCCGTATCGCATTAGTTGCAACATTGCAAATTACACACTATTCATGTACTCTACTTTGACTACATTTTATTTATTAATGTATGTGAATTATTTTTTTAAAAGAATATTGTTGAATTCGTCTCATTAAAAAGTTTCATAATCTGTTTTTTAATTATTTTTTAATAATACAGAATTAAATATAATGACGGTCAAAGTTGTGCGTTGGCAAACGTGAAAAAGTGACTGTTGCAACTAAAAAAGAACGGAGGAAGTAGTTAGTAACATATTATACATAATATATAATTATATATATATAATACTACGTATAATATACACATATAGGCAATTAGTCGCCTAATTGTCACCTAGGCGGGTGCTTTGTCGCCTAGGCAATATGGCGGTCAGCTGGTGCCGCGACTCGACTTACTGCCGTGACAAGTATGGTATATATATGGTGTTTGTACATCTATTATAATTTTGAAATGTGAAGATTCATACGTAGTATTATATAAAACTACATTTTCATTCTACAAACGATCAGAATTTGAATTCAGAACTAGGATCGTATCTAACGTTACACGTCATGCCGCAAAATTCCCATGTCAAAAAATGAAGTACAAGGATGATGATGATGTACCTCACAAAATATAACAACTCCAAAGCGGTGATTATTTGTTAATGCATGACGAACACATCTAGAACTATGATTCGTATCTTCCATGTTATGAATATTAACTTCGTTCTTTATTTACACCAAAATTATTGACATCATCCAAGAAATCTTCTCATCCACTTTTTTTTCTCAAATCTTGAAATTTACATTCGGTGTTCTTAAGCAAGCTCACAACCTCGAGTTGTGAGCGTGCTATAAACCAATAATTTGAGTTGGGGCACTAAGAACCTACTTGGCTTAGTTTTGTATATATATTTACATTCTTGTGATATCGAATTGCAACTCGTTATTTTGATCAGGTTTTATCTGAAGAGCTACCTGGGGCAATATCCAGGATATCATTCCCAAAGTCGATGCGTTGGAACTCTGATGTAAGAATTGCCATTGCTCGCATCAACATCTTTTCCTCCATTTTTAGTTCTTCATTATTGTTGTTATGGTGGATGGTCTCTTATTAGTTGGTCTTTATAACATACTTTGTCAACTCTAATTGGTTCATCATAACCTCCTGTGTTAAACTTCTATACTTTAGGTTCTCTTCAGCAGACCTGTTCGTTGGATTTTGGCCCTTCATGGAGGCGTTGTAGTACCCTTTTCATTTGGTGGTGTTGTGAGGCAAGGATAAGACCCTTTTGGTTGCGAATATTCCATTATTGTTTTTTATTATAGTAATCAGGGTTAAAACTTATTATAGTAACTATTACAAATAAAAATTTTGCAGTTGAAAGTCAATGGTGCGACTGGCTGGAGTTTCACATCAATAAAAAGTACCAAGTAGTTGTTTTTTCTTTAACATGATGTCAGAGCTTAGCTGCTTAAGTTTTTCTATAAACATACCAGACCTTCTTGCTGTGAATAGTTACTGCACGATTGCCCAAATAGTTAGAAGCATATAGCATTACTATCTGACAACACCGATTATGCGTTGCCCTTCAGAATCATGTTCCGAACCTACTGTTGTCCACTGCCTGTCACATGACGCTCTTCTTCCTAAGTTACGCACTACCGCCACATGCCTCTTGTGCGAATACATGAGCAAAACCCAACATACTTTTTTATGTGTATCAATATATATCCAGTTCCTTTTACTTGCTTCCAATCTCGTGTGAAACTTTCAGCACACTTTGGAACTTATATGCATTTTAGATTTTCTTCTTGGTAATCACGACTAAGGTGAAATTTTGGAAAGTAGTCTTGTTGCTTCTTCGGTTCAAACTCTATAAAACAACCGCCCTATGTAGATTTATGAGGCAAATCTTTCTGGGAATCCTGTTATCACCCATAGTAAATCAAGAGGATCCCAAAGTTATCAATATTGGATTATTGGTTTGTAGTTTGTCGTGACAGCCTTTTTAACAACAATCAGTACTCATTTTAACCCTTTAATACTTGTTTCTCTGTGTACCAGTGATACCAAAACACCATCTCAGCCACACTCTTCGCCATCACCTGTGGTGGCCATTCTGCCGTGGCTGCTAATAAATTCACCCAAACTTCTTTCCACAAACAGTTCTTTGCAGGCACTTCAAGAATGAAGATATTGGCAATTCGATGAGGAAATACTGCCTTGGTATCTTATAGTGGCACATCAAGTTCATCAATTGTCCATCACCAAATGTTGTTATTTGATTATTTGTTCGTAGTGGTGCTGTGTGGTCGTAGGAAAGCTTGTCATTCCTTCAAGCTTTGAGGATATATATTGGTATGTCAACTATGGGAGTAATTATATTGGTATGTATAGTTTAATAATTATTATTATTACTATTTTTATTATATTAAAATTATTATTACTATTATCATTATTAGCTAGTAGTAATTTTCTATTAGTATTGTTATTTTTTCCTTTTCGATCAAAAAAGTTACATGTGAAGGATGTCGATCAAAGGATCCTATAGGAGGATGAGGAAATAAAAGAGAGGTGAATACTTTGATATCTTGTTCAACGAGAATAAAGTGCATTGTATTGATGATCTTACTATACCAGAGTGTATGTTTAATTGGGACTTTCTGAGAAAGTTCCGAACAACAGAAGTTAAAGATGCTCTAAGAAAGATGGGCAAAAGAAAGCAGTGGGCCCAGATGGCACACCGATCGAGGTCTGAAGAAGTTTGGAAGAGAAAAGTATCGAGTGATTAACACATTTCTTCAATATGATTTGGAGAAACAACAAAATGCAGTGAGTTGGCAGAAGAGTACTCTCATTCCCCTATTTAAAAATAAGGGTGATGTACAAGAATGTGCCAACTATCGAAGGATTAAGATTATGCGTCTGTAGGTTTGAAGAATTAATCTTCCATGTTTTATTGAGCCATCCGGCAATGATATAAATACAAAATTACAGATAAGCTAAAGTTGTTACAGATCCTAATATTTAGGATCTATCTATTCTTATCTACACTGCGTGTTAATCTAAGAGTTAGAGTTCTAAATTAACTCTACTTCCTATCTATACAGTTTCGGATGTACACATAATAAAATAACATGAATATGCTACATTTTTCTACACTCCCCCTCAAGTTGGTAAGTATATATCATACATTCCCAACTTGCTTATAAGAAACTCAAACACTGGTTTAAACAGCCCCTTTGTAAAGATATCAGCTGTCTGCTCTTTAGTAGATATGAATGGTGTGCATACAATTCCAGCTTCAATCTTCTCTTTGATAAAATGCCTGTCCACCTCAATGTGTTTAGTACGATCATGTAGCACATGATTGTGAGCAATATTAATGGCTGCTTTATTGTCACAATATAATTTCATAGGTAGGTCCATTTCCATATTCAACTCTGTCATCATTCTCTTGATCCAAAGTAGCTCACAGATTCCATTAGCCATAGATCTAAATTCTTATTCTGCACTACTTCTGGCAACAACATTCTGCTTCTTACTCCTCCAAGTCACTAGATTCCCCCATACATAAGTACAATATCCAGATGTAGACCTTCTATCAGTTATTGACCCAGCATAATCTGCATCTGTAAAGGCTTCTACACTTCTATTGTCACTTCTTTTAAAAAATAATCCTTTCCCTGGACAACTTTTCAGATATCTTAGGATCCTGTAGGTAGCATCTAGATGTTCTTGGAATGGATTATGCATGAACTGACTAACCATACTGACTGCAAAGGCAATATCTGGCCTTGTATGTGCCAGATAAATCAACCTTCCCACCAATCTTTGATATTGGTGAATATTAACTGGTACTCCTTCCTTGACATTTCCTAACTTCTGATTAGGGTCAATTGGAGTATCTATTGGTCTGCATGCACTCATACCTGTTTCATGAAGTAGGTCTAGTACATACTTCCTTTGGGATACCACAATTCCCTTCTTTGATCTGGCTATCTCCATGCCAAGAAAATACTTCAATTCTCCTAGGTCTTTGATTTCAAATTCCTGAGCAAGCTTCTTCTTCAGATCTTCAATCTCTTCACAATAGTTTCCTGTAAGAATTATATCATCCACATAAACAATTAGTACTGCAATTTCTCCCTTAATGGAGAATTTCATGAATAGTGTATGATCTGCTTGGGCTTGTTTGAATCCCTGCTTCTTTATGAACTGAGTAAACCTTTCAAACCAAGCCCTTGGGGACTGTTTAAGCCCATATAAGGCTTTCTCTAGCTTGCACACCTTTGAGCCATATTGTTCCTCAAAACCAGGAGGAGGGCTCATGTATACTTCCTCTTCAAGCTTCCCATTTAGGAAAGCATTCTTCACATCTAACTGTTGAAGAGGCCAGTCTAGGTTAGAAGCTAGAGATAGTAGAATCCTTATAGTATTTAATTTTGCAACTGGTGCAAAAGTTTCTGTATAATCTATGCCATAGGTTTGTGTGTATCCTTTGGCAACTAGTCTGGCCTTATATCTTTCAAGTGTACCATCTGCCTTGAATTTAGGAGTAAACACCCATTTGCATCCAACCCTTGGTTTATTTTTGGGTACCTCTATAGTCTGCCATGTCTGATTCTTTTCAAGGGCATTCATTTCTTCTAAAACAGCCTTCTTCCACTCAGGTATAGATAGGGCTTCCTGTATGGTTAAGGGAATAGAGACAATGGAAAGGCTAGAGGTAAAAGCTGCAAAAGATGTAGATAACTGAGAATAGGACAGATAGTTTGAGATAGGGTATTTAACACATGACCTTTTTTCTTTTCTGAGAGCAATGGGTAGATTTAGATCACTGAAATTATTACCTTTATCATTTTCTGGCATTGAGTCAGATTCATTGACAGTGGCAGGATCAGGGATGTCCTCTATTCTGTGATTTGGAACTCTCCTTTCATAAACCTTGCCAAAAAACTTACTTGTCTGCTGTTCATCATCTTTCCTTGTTTCAGAAAAAAAATTTTCATTTTCTTTTGACTCTTGACTATTTTCTAGTGCATCTAACTGTCTATTATACTGTGCATCTAGATTAATGTCAAGAGGTTCTAGTTTTTCAAGGATATGTGACACATTATTACCATCTTCATTAGGAATCTCCCCCTGAAGGTGAGTACCAAAAAAAGGTTGATCTTCTACAAAAACAGTGTTCATAGTTATAAACATCTTTTTTGTTATAGGGTCAAAACATTTATAGCCTTTCTGAGTTGAAGAGAGTCCTAAGAAAACACATTTTTTTCCCTTAGGGTCAAATTTACTTGCAGTTCTGTCAGGATTGGTAATAAAAACTGTGCACCCAAAAATTTTTATGGGAAGAGAATTAATTAGTCTGGTTTCAGGAAAACAAGCTTGAAGAGTATCAATAGGAGTTTTGAATCCTAGAGTTTTTGATGGCATCCTATTAATTAGATAGGTAGCATGTAAAACAGCTTCTCCCCATAAATATTTTGGAATTTTGGCAGAAAACATTATTGCACGAGTAACTTCAAGTAAATGTCTATTTTTCCTCTCAGCTATTCCATTCTGAGCAGGAGTATTTACACATGAACTTTGATGAACAATCCCTTTTTCAGCAAAAAAAGTATTTAACTTCTTAGAAAAATACTCAAGTCCATTATCACTTCTCACAATTTTGATATTAGTGTTGAATTGAGTTTGGATCATTGAGTAAAATTGTTTGAACACCCCTTCAATCTCAGATTTTTCTTTAAGTAAAAACACCCATGTGACCCTTGTATGATCATCTATGATAGTTACAAACCACCTTTTTCCTTTCAGAGTTGAAACTCTAGATGCACCCCAGATATCACTGTGTACAATAGTGAAAGGACTAGTTGGTTTGTAACTATGAGGGATGTAAGAACTCCTATGATGTTTGGCAAGTGCACACATATCACAATGAAATGATGAAGGATGTTTATTAAGAAATAACTTAGGAAACAACATTTTCAAATAGGAAAAACTTGGGTGACCTAATCTATAGTGCATTAGGTACACTTCATTATTACAAGGAAAAACAGTTTGCAAACAAGTTGTTTCTTGACCTTGTTTATTCAATTGTGTTCCTTCATCAAAAGTATAGAGGCCATCTTACTCTCTAGCACTGCCAATCATCTTCCCTGATGCCAGATCCTGAAAAATGCAATAAGAGGGAAAATTTTTTACACAACACTGAAGATCTTTAGTAATTTTACTAATAGAGATAAGATTGCAGGAAAGTTTAGGAACATGTAAGACTTTGGAAAGGTTAATGGATGAGGAAATTTTAATATTTCCCATCCCTGCTATGGCTGAGAAAGAGCCATCTGCAACTCTAACTTTTTTATCTCCTGCACAAGGTTGATAAGAAGAAAAAAACTTTGGAATATAGGTCATGTGGTCTGTTGCACCTGAGTCAATGACCCAGGTGTTTTTAGTTTTTTCAGAACAAAAATATGATGTTATTTTACCATTCTGGGCAAAAGAACAGGTAGGGGTTTCAGGATTGGAGATTTTCTGGGTAGGTATGAATCTGAGTAGGTACTCTATCTGTTCCTGAGTGAATGGTAGCTGTTTAGGTTCAACTCCTGCCTCTTGTTGAGTCTCAGTCACAGTAGTTTGTAGGGCCCTTTCTACTTTCTTCTTCCCAGCTCCTGGTGGTTTTCCATGGAGTTTCCAGCATGTATCCCTTGTGTGCCACAGTTTCTTGCAGTGATCACACCAAGGTTTTTTCTTGTTGTCATCACTTCTGGCCACCAAAGCTGAAGATTCCCCAGGTTCCTCATTAGGTGCTGGGGTGTTGTACATGACCTTCTTCCTGCTATCCTCCATCCTGATTTCAGAAAATACCTCCCTGATAGAAGGTAGAGGTTTTTTTCCAAGTATCCTCCCCTTAACTTCATCTAGGTCCCTATTGATCCCTGCTAGAAACATATAGACCCTATCATTCTCTTCTTTTTTCTTATGTCTGGCCAGATCCTTAGCACTCTCCCACTCTTCATCATCATAGCATTGATCTAATTCTTGCCACAGAGATACCATTTCATTGTAGTATGAAATAATATCCCTATTTCCTTGTTTAGATTGCCACAATTTGGTTTTGAGTTCAAAAATTTGAGAAGAGTTTTCAAGGTCTGAATAAGTTTCCTTAATAGAATCCCATACCTCCTTTGCAGTTTTCATAAACATATGAGGTTTGGCAATTAGGGACTCCATGGAGTTGAGAAGCCAAGCTGTTATGAGTGAATTCTCTGACCTCCATGTACTGTACCCTTCTTCTGCAGGTATTTTTGGTTGGATTTCTCCTGTGATGTAACCCAGCTTTCCCCTCCCATCAA